TAAGGTGCCATTGCTTGCTCCCTTGGGCAGGAGAGCTGTTTCCATGTGAACAGGGACCTGTCCTCTCTGGAGGCCCAGAGGCAGCCATTCCAGGGACTTCCCGAATCTCCCTGATGACACAGCTGCTTTGCCTGCACAGCCACACACCCATCCCCTGGAGGAGGAGGCCCCGTGTAGAAAAAGATCCTGGGCCTGGTTACTGCCATCTAGTTAGGATTAATTAAAAGGCTCTATGGCATAGTTCCACCCCATAGAGCTGCGAATCTCTCAGCTAATGAGGGAAAGAAGAGAAAAAGCTCTTGACTATTTAGATTACAGTTAAAGTCGCTGGAGTCCGAGCAGCCACTGTGTTATCTCAGCAGAGGGGCATCCATTACACTGATTTGTTTCTAGTGTTGTGTTCACATGAAGGATTTGACTTACCAGCAGAGCATAGAAAAGCATCTAAGACCAGATGGGCTCAGCACTGGGAAGTTAGAGGGCAAGGTGGTGACAGATGGCTGTAGAGGCATTTCACTCCAGGGTAATAATCCAGCCCCGCCTTTCCTGCCCAACCCGTTATATCTCACAAAGCTAAGTAGGAAGCATCTGGCTTCCCTGGTCTTGCTCCTTATTCCTCACATCCCCTGTGACCCAGTGGCTGCCTTCACACTGGCTGGAGTGAGCAAGAAGAGGGTGGCTTACCTCCAGCTATTGAAAACACTCAGCCACTCTTGAAATGGAAAGGAGGCAGTGCTGATAATAAAAGCATATGTTAGCATAGCCGCTAGTGAGAGACAGCAACTGAACCTCTCCTGGCTCCCCAGTACCACTGGGGCCTAAGCACGCTTCATCATTGACAGGAATTTTCACCAGGAAATCCTGTGGGTGTTAGTAGTCTTGGAAGTGAGTTAGCAGTACTGTGTCATAGCCCAAGGTAGCTGGAAGGGACTGGGTCCCATTTCCAGATGTGCACACTGAAGGTCATTGTTTCCCTGTACCAACTTTCTTGTGAAAGTATCACCTTGAGAACAACATGTGTGTTTTGCCTGGTAGTTCTGTAAATTTTTGTATGTTGAACCACTAGCTACAAATGGTGAGCGAAGAGACTATTTGAGCTGATGAAGTAACAGCAGCCAGTTATGGTGGCTTGTTATTTCTGAGAATTATCTTCAGGTGTGGCCTGGTTTTCACTGTTGGTGAATTTAGGATCTCCTCATAGGTGGGGAAGTCTTGAGAGTTTCTGTCTATAGCTGCTAATCAGGGAACTTGGCAGATGATGTAGTAACTCATCCCCTTTTATAAAACCTGCCTGTGGTTAATTAAAATGAGTTCAGAAAGTCATTCAAATTTTGCCATATGGCCTCATCTTTTCTATTATGGAAACATTTCATCAGACCTGACATGTCTGAGATACCCAAGATGATTCAGAGTTTGGCCAAAAGTGTTCAGTGAGAACAGTTACACAGAAACCCTGCTTTCATTTTTATAGGCCAAACAAAGGTCACACGAACCCAGCCAGTCTGATGCCATTGCCCAGCCACTGTGCACTGGGAAACACAATGGCTACTTCTATTAGAGGACATTGACCTCGCTCCAGCACCCCAGAGAAGGGCCAATCCTCACTGTCTTGACCAATGCTTGACAATTATGATAGCCTTATATCACCACCAGAGGGCATAAAAGCCCTCCTGGCAGAAGCTGATTGGGGCTGGAGGCTTCTGCCAGGTGTGGAGATGGTCTAGGAACAGTGAAACTCAGGTGGCCACATTCCCTGGATCCTTGGTGTAATGGGATAAATGGGGAAAGATACAAGAGAGAGCAAGAAATCTGCTAATGTGGCTGCATTCATTTCTAATGACTTTTATCTACTTAACAGCTTGTCATTTTTTGTTGGATTTCAAACAGGCTGTTTGGGGATGTTTGTTTTTAAACACTCTAGCAGACTTTGCTTTTGAAAAATACTTGACATGGGTAATTTCTTGACTGGGGTTGCTTTTCTAGAGGCAATAGGAGAGAAATGAATAAGCAAGATGAACTAGAAAAATAATGTTTAAAGGTCACAGTGTGTAAGCAGCTTCTTAAAATATCATTTGTGTATTTGTTAGGACTTGGGGGGGAGGGGTGTGCATGCTTTGTGCAGAAAGAACACATGGCCATAAAGGACAGACTCTCTCTCCTGTTTCCTGTGACCCATAACCAAGCATACACTAGTTAGTCTTGTCTTGCAGATGGAAGTTACCATAGATCAAGACAGCCCCAAACTCTGAGGTGTGGGAGAAGAGGGGGAGTAGAGACTGCAGGAAAAGTCAGTTGGTAAGCAGAAGGTAGTACTTGTTCATTCTTGGAGATGGTTTGGAACTTTAGGTAGAATAAAGATAGATTCAATCCTAGGGCGATTCTCTGTTGAACAATAACATAAGGCATGTGCATTAAAGTCTTTCTTACAAGCTATCTAACAGAGCAGGTGTGTGCTTATTAAGATACTAGCAGAGGGTATTCCTTCTCTACTGGATGAACCTTAGGTATAAAAGATAATTAACAAGGCAAGCTACTTTGCTCCCTAACCAATGTGACCCCCAAACCCAGCACATGTGACGCAACCCTGGCTGATTCCTCTGTGAAGTCAGATGGAACCAGCACCACCTGCCCTGTTGAGTGAAGGGCCCGCCACCATTTGGGGGAAGAGCTTTAGCTGAGCGCTCAGCTTTAGGAGGGAAGCACATGGAAGAGGCAGAAGGGAACTCAGTGGCTGGCCATTTTGTGTGGAAGGGGGAGGGGCAGGTCTCTTTTTCTTACACACAGACATACACGAGCACACACACACCTGTTCACCCTCTACCACCTGTGCTTCCCTGTGGCCAGGGTGCTCTGTTCCACATGATCTGAAATTCCAGTTGCCCTCCCATGGTTTGTGTCAAAATGTGATTTATCTGATTGATTTCAAACACCCCTGAATGTCACATGCAGATTTCTTATGGGAACAATACGCCCAAGTTTGCAGTCACATTGTGAGAAGTTAAATGTGTGAGCTAGAAGATGCTCTCGGCAGGGGATAAAGAGTCTTTTGTTTCCTGCCCTGGAAACTGACCATGTAGTCTTAATAGTTTTTTGTATAAAATCTAGCAACCAGATAACTTTCCCATCTAGTGCTTGCCCTTGAAATGGTCTCTAAACACATCAAGTATACAATAAAAAATGCTAAAGTTAGTGTCTGTGTGACTTCTTCTATCTTGTTTTTCATGAATAAATGTGAACATCAGGCATAACAGAAAATGTATGAAAAGGTTTGTTTTTCAGACCAGAATCTAAAGAAAACTGAATCCGTGCTATCTGTGAATCAACATGCTCTTTCAGGATAAGCAAAGAAAACACAATGAGATACTGCTTCACACCCATCAGCATGGCAACTATCAAAAAAACCAGGCGGTATCAAGTGTGGATGAGGATGTGCACTGGTGGTGGGCATGTAGCATGGTACAGCCTCTGTGGAAAACAGTATGGCAATTCCTCCAAAATTTAAAAGTGGAATCAGAATTTAATCTTGCAATTCTGAGTATATACTTAAACTAATTGAGAGTGTTGAGAGATATTTATACACCCTCGTCCAATGGCAGCTGAATTCATAGTAGCCTAGAGGTGGAAGTAACCCAATCATCTGTGGACAGATGAATGAATAAACAAAGTGGTATATAGACCTACAATGGAATATTATTCAGCCTTAAAAAGGAAGGAAATTCAAGTGCATACAACAACATAGATGCATCTTGAGGACATTATGCTAAGGGATGAGCCTTTAAAAGTCAAGCAATATGTGATGCCACTTATAGGTGGTACCAAGAATAGTCAGATTCCTATGGACAGGAAGTAGCATAATGGTGATCAGGAGCTGGGATGGGAGGAGAATGGAGAATGATTTTTAATGAGTGTAGTTTAAATTTTATGAGAAGATAGGAATTCTGGACAGTGTTTGAGCAACAATGTGAATATGCTTATCACTACTAACTGTACACTTAAAAGTGGTAAATTTTATGTTACATGTATTTTACCACAATTAAAAAAAATGAAAATCAAAAACCATATTAGAAACAGGAATCTAGAACACAGAACGACTAGTGCCATCAACATCAAGCATTTAGGAAGCCATTCAGCCCCACGAGAGTGCACGGGGACAGGATAACCCTTGAGTAATCAGTTAGCTCTCTTCACACTTGTGGCCTGGGCATGCCAGGTTGCTTCTGGGATTCTGACTCCACCATGTCAGAAAAAATGGAACTGAATGTCTTATTCATGAAAACAGGGCATAGTCACTGGTAGAAAAGGTCAAAGTAGACAACTGCCCTATTTATATGACAAGGAACTAAACTTTATTCCTACCACCCCCCCCCCAATAAATATAACAAGTTCCCCCAAAAGCTCTAAGAGGACAGAGTGTGTATTAGTTTGCTAGGACTGCCATAACAAAGTACCAAATTTCTGTTGCGTAAACAACAGAAACGTATTGCCTCACAGTTTTGGAGGTAGGAGTCCAAGAGCAAGGTGTTGGCAGAGCTGGTTCCTGCTGAAGGCTGTGAGAAAGAATCCACGTGTCTCACCTGGCTTCTTGCGGGTTGCTGGCCGTCTCTGGTATTTCTTAGCCTACAGAAGCACCACTTCAATCTCTTGACTTCATCTTCATGTATTGTTCTCTGGTGTCCGTGTCTGTGTCCAAATATCCCCCTTTTATAAAAAAATATGGGGGGTTCACAGTACTTTCAGTATAACCTCATCTCAACTACACCTCCGAACACCCTATTTTAAATGCCTCCAAACACTTTATTTTAGCATCATGGTTCATTTTTATATGATGTTTGATTTCTCCTCTCAGATGTAACCCCCACAAAACTCCAATCCCCAAATCACCCATGAGACTTGACTGTAGTCTCTTGCGTTTTTTCTCTCTAAAACTCTTATTTACTATGTTGACGTTATGAGGTACTGAGGGTTAGAATTCTGCATGTGAATTTCTGGAAGATGTAATTTAACCCATATAGAGCAGATTTATGCAGGACGCCACTGTCCCCTGGGGCAAGGAACTTGCTTCTGGAGCCCACAGCTCCATTAAGTTCCCATTTAGTTATTCCTCTAGACCCCCTAAGTACCACCTCTCTCTCTTACCCCCTTAAAGGGTGGCTAAGATTACCGCCACTTCACCCCCCTCCACATCTATGATTTGAGGTTCACGATCTACCTGAATTATTTGGAGCTATGACTTTCCTTCTTCACTCAAGTTGACCCTTTTGGTCACTGAAAATTTTATTGTACTTTTACTATTAAGAGAGAAGATAAAACAAATCGAGTCTTTAATTCAGATGCAAATTGTGTAGAAGTTAACTTTAAAATTAGTTTCAAGATGGGACTTATTTTGGGAACATCTATGAATTTTAATACCCACTCTCTCTTTGTTATCCAACAGTAGAGCTAGCAGAGTGTAGCCTGAGCAGCTCAGCCAACACCTAAATGCCTGGATGCAGCTGGCAAGAGCTGTGCTTTGCAGCTGAGTACAGGGTGGACCAGAATGTTCTTGCACTCACACCTGGGGCTGCTGGGACTCAAAGGAGAAGGGCTTGTGTAGGTGATCTGTCACTGAACCTTTATTACCAAGCACTTGTGTGCTTGGGTACATTATTTATGTCCCCACTCATGAAGGATGCCCATTAATAGATGAGACATCTATGAGATGGTTTATTTTCTTCCCCAAACTTTTAAGAGGCAGAACAGACAGTTAGATCTCTGTTTGCACCTAAGTCAGTTTACTTAGCGGACAAACCTCCTGTACTGTCACAAACCATATTCCAAAGTGAGCACCTGAAAACACTGCAGTGGAGATTGAGATGCTGCTGCTCTATATAGTGATTTTTTGGGGGAGGGGGGTGCTAAATGGTTGTCCTTTAGATTGAAAGTTTTTCCATTGTTAAAAAAGTTAGAGGCATTTATAAGCAGCCCTCTTTGCCTATTTTATAGTGATGATATAGATTGTTATGCATTTTTAAAAAATAGATTTGAGGAAGTTTCTCCCTTTTCCCCATAAATACCCATTCCCTAAAATATCCTAAACTAATTGGGTAAACCCGGGAAAACATGCAGTTAGAAATGAGCTAAAAAAAAAAAAAAGAATTAATGTTTTTATACCTTTGGGTAGATACCTAGGAGTGGAATTGCTGGATCATATGGAAACTCCATATTTTAGAGAAGCCTCCATATAGCTTTCGATCGTTGTTGGACTAGTTTGCATTCCCACCAGCAGTGTAAGAGAGTTCCTTTTTTTCCACATCTTCACCAACATTTGCTAGTTGTTTTAAGATGTGCCATTCTCACTTGTGTGAGTGGTATCTCATTGTGGTTTTGATTTGCATTTCCCTTATTACAAGTGATGCTGACATTTTTTTCATATGCTTCCTGGCTGTCTGCATTTCCTCTTTGGAGAAGTGTCTTTTTAGCTCTTCTGCCCTTTTTTGATGGGGTTGTTCACTTTATTTTTGTAGAGTTTTGTCAGCTCTTTGTATATCTTTGTGATCGTTCCTTTATCATAAATATTGTGTACAAAATTTTCTCCCAATCAGTGGGGTGTCTCTGTTTTAGCTAATGTCTCTCTTGCTGTACAGAAGCTCTTTAATTTGATGTAGTACCAGCTGTTTATCCTTTCCTTCACTATCCTTGCTTTCGGTGATCTATCTTTAAAGATGTTACTGAAGTGCATGTCATACAGTGTTCGTCGAAAAGGACACCTACACCCTTATGTATATTACTGAACTATTTACAATAGGGAAGATGTAGAATCAACACAAATGCCCCAAAATAGATGACTGGATCAAGAAGATGTGCTACATAGAAACTATGGAATATTACGTAGCAATCAATAAAAGATAAACTCCTGGCATTTACAGCAACATGGATGGAGCGGGAAGGAATCATGCTTAGTGAAATAGGCAGAAAGAAAAAGAAAATACTAGATGGTTTCACTCATAGCAGGAGTGTAAGGGATCAGAAAACAAAAATCAATTGCAATAAAGTAAAAATGAAAAACAATAACAACTATAAACCAGACGCATTTTATGGGGGTTGAGAGGGGAATAGGATCAAAACTGGGGTGGGAAGAGCACACAGGACTATAGTGAAGGCACATGGGTGAATTGGTGGTGGGAAGCCCATGGAGATTACAACCGAGATGAAAAAATGTACAAAATGAAGAACGATGTTATCTGTCTACCTATCTATATCTATCAATCTATCTCACACACACACACACAATATAAAATATATATAAAAAAGGAAGTGAGCTAAAAAAGAGAGCCCTTGAGTGTACCCCAGCATGTTACAACAAGGCTTTGAATGTCTCAGAAACCCATCTAATCCTTAAAAATGTTTATCTTACACTGGTACTGGTGACCACCAATGGGTTTTAACAAAGACATGACCGAAGAACTTCCACTATTAAAGTTTATTAGGTACAAAGAAATGAATCTGCAGATGGAGCATCAATAAATATGAAATGCATATGAAATTCATCGACAACAGTGTCACTGAGAATGGGGAGAGCAGTAGGGGTGCTGTGACCTGCTGCCTCTACATCGGAGTTTATGGTCAAGGGTCTAAATCTTCTTCCTGCCAGAGGAATGAGGTCAAAGGGCATGAATCCAGTGATGGTCTCGAGGAGAAATGTGAAGCCAGATTCCTGAGATTTCTCCCTAATCATAGTTTTTGGTTTCTGCTCGTTCCTTCCCTCTGTCCTTGAAATAGTTTAGTTTTAATTTCTAACCCAAAGGTGTGGAACATGAACATATAAACATCTTATCAGGGAAGAGGGTCTACTCTGAAAGTGGGATGGCCTCTGTCTGGGTCTTCTAACTCACAATAATTAAAACTCCACAATTATTTTATGCAACTGCGAGTTAGAATGGATATCTGACCTTTCAGAACCTTCTAGAACCAATAAAAAAATGTCAGCTATGCCCAGAGCTGATGACTTGCAAATGCTTCTTTTTCATTGATTTAGCTATTTCTACTGATTTACTCCCTTGAGAAGTGAACATGACCTGGCACAGTCACTTCTGTCTGGAATGAGAATACAGGATGCCATCTTTGTCTTTCCTCTGCACAGCAGTGAGGTGGAAGCAGTAATATTTATAAAACCCTCCCAGCTGCCACCTGGGCTTGGGGCTTGGGTAGCTCGGTCAGGGCATGTCACTCAGGTGTGAGTGTGTCATTCTAACGGAAACATACTCTCCACTGTGCTTTCCACCTCTTCTTCCCTAATTTCCTTTCATCTGCAACTATTTTGAATGTAGCCCAGGGATTATTGTTTCCTTCTATTTTCTCTTTCTCTGTCACTACCTTCCCCTTCCAGTATGGACAGCATCCAGGGTGAGGTGGGTAAGAAAACATGCACTTGCATTCCCTTGCCAAAGCAAGAGAGCAAGCATGTGAGCACAGTTACAGTCAGTCCTGACCCTCCACATTCAGGGCAGCTGAATTTTCCCTTCCTCCCCACCCCCCAGGAGTGGGAGCTCTCAGATCCATGAGGGGCTGGTCAGCACAGAGAGGAACTAGGTTTTGCCTGATGGGTGGTTCCTGGTTTCCTAGGGAGGGAGGTGAGAAACCAGATATTTGAGGCAGATTATTTCACAATATATTTTGCTATGCTTTTTTGGTAGCATATTTTCACAGAAATCCTGCATTTGGGAGAAAAAAAGGCCTCTGAGATAGAGTTAGTAATTTACTATGAAAAGGAGTTGTGTATATTTCTAATTTGCAAGGAAAATGCCAAAATTCAGAAATCTTACCTCAGCCTGGCTCGGCTGGGGCTGGAGGCTCAGAGGGGACAGGAGACTTGGGCCCAAGGGGCACTGTAAACAGTAAGAGCATTGGCTACTTGTAGGATCATTCAGTTACAAAAGGGGTTTTGTGGTCAGCACTGGAGGGACCAAGCCCATCCTTGCCGTTGTACTATATTTACAGTAGGCAGCAAGGAAAAAAAAAAATCCCTGGATGGCAAAAAGGAAGCAAGATGTGCTATCTCGCTCACTGGAGGCTGTGTGGCTTTCAGGGTGTGGGGACGTACTACTCTCTGAGCTGCATCATTTATAAGGCATTATTTGGTTTGACTTTGTGGTTGGTGCAATGAAAATATAAAATCATGCCAATAGGAAGCCGCTGTGGATACAATGGCTTTGGGAATACCTGCAAACTAAGAGCTCTTCTCAGAATGGTTCAGCATCTAGGAAGGGCCAGACTGCACGTGTATACACAGTCATGGAATGGATGTCTGGGGGGACAGGGCTCTGTATATACTGGCAGATGAATGTCAAGATGCACTTAAAAAATGGAGATATGGTGTCTTTTCAAAAATCACTTAAATAAAAGTTGACTAGAATACTGATTTAAAGCCTGTGCAAACCACATATTTAAAATAAATAGAAGCTCCACTCAGAGCGTGCATGTCAGCTGAATCACAAGTTGAACATGGTGGGTCCAGACACGTCTTCATGGGGTGCCCATCCTGTACCGTAACCCAGGTGTCCCCGGGGCCTTGGCTTCATCTGTCTTCTCACCGGAGTGTCTTTAGAGATAACTGTGGAAACACGACAATGTTGCCCAGTGGATTAAAAGACTCCTTGCAATGATCCCCCTCAGGATAAGGCTGCCAGAGTTGATGGTGCCACCAGGTACAAGTTGCTGATTTTTATCAAGGGGTCATGGGTAAAGAGGGGATGAAGTGGGGCATGTAGCTGGTGGCATGTGGGGATCTCATGCCATCTTATAAACATTTGTAGGGCTGAACACCAGTCAATCCACTTGGCAGAAAACCCAGGAAATACAAAGAGCTTGCTGGAGATGCTCAGACAAGGCAATGGGAAAGAGAGAGGGGGCGCAGGTCAGCACATCTGCAGCTCAGGGCCCTGCCATGCACCGATTCCTTGGGCCCTTAATGAAGAGAGCTCCTCTTTGTCTGACACTGGTATGACGTAGTGGTGCCTGGGCAACAGTTCCTGGTCCCACACAAGGAAAGTCCACACAAGGAAGATGAATGGATAGGGTATGCAGTTAGACAAAAAGATCTTGACTATGGGATGACCAAGAGAGACTTTACATCCATCCTTGACCAGACATTTATGTGCAGGGAAAACAAACACCAATCACAGGTGCTTTGGGTATATCTTTGTTATGAAGTGAAGGACCAGCCCAAATTTCAACATGCTTGTCACATTTGAAGGTAAGGGGGACTCCTGGTCTGGAGAGGATAACATGCCAGGAAGAGCAGTGAGGTAGAGTGGAAAGAACACAGAGCAAGAAGCCAGAGGAATGGGCATGTGATCATCAGTCACACGTGGATCCCAGTTTTCTCTTTTGAAAAAGTGGCAGTACAGGTATCGCTCTACTGCCACTTTTTCGGAAGTTACCTCTTTAGCTTATATAAGAGGGCTACTAAAAGGATGAGAGAACATATGCACATAATCTGACTAACGTAGAAAGTCACATAATATAGGGACCACTGGTAGGATTATTTCTGTATGTTTCTGATCACAGGGATAATGTATTCAGCATAGAAAATTAAGAAAGTGCAGAAATGCATTAGGATGAAAGTAAAAATCATTTATAATCTTTCCGAGCAGAGGTCTGTCAACAATTCTGTGCATATTCTTCCTGTCTTCTTTTTTCCTATGTACATACACTTCCCCCTCACCTGCTATTACACACTCAGCTTGAACCTGTGATGATGAGAATGGCCTCAGCAACTTCTGAATTAGCCATGGTTAGAAAAGGATGTGTGTATGCTAGTCACCTCTCTACCTATGGCACTTTCGTTAAGGTTCCATACACCCCCAGGAGGGCCCATATGAACTCTGAAACAGGAAGTGGGGTAGGACAAAAATGAAAGAAAAAAGAGCCTTTAGAGAGAAGACTGTGATGCTCAGTGAGAGCCCTGGGGGAGACATCATATCTGCCCAGGGGAGGAAATACTGCACCCGAGGCTGGGGGTAGAATGAGGGTGTTTCATCAAAGACTGTTTCGTCACACAGACACCTATCTGGCTTCCTTCCCAGTTCTGTCAGTCTCTTCTAACCACCAGGACTTGAGCTATGACTAAATTTTACCAAAATTAATTGTAATATTGATGGGGAGAAAAAAACCCAATAACCAAGGACACTATAAGAAATTATGTATTCTCTAGATGAAAGAGAACACTGAGTTACATTTTATATGTATTTCAGAATTTTCCTCTCAGGGCTTCTCAAGTCAGTCATGACAGGGGTAGAATGAAGAGTAAATGGGGTGATTGTTGTAGATCAGTCCCAAAGGGGTACTGAGTTGCCAACTGTTGAAATTGGTGGCGATTCCAGTGGAGCTCCCCTTTCACCCTTTGGATTTTGAAGTTGTGAATGTTTCATCCTAACTAGAAACAAAGAACACCAAAATGGCTTTCCCTGAGGGGAAAAAAATGTCTGAGGAGAAATGCTAAAATGGTTAAAGAAGAAGGTGCACACTCAACATGTCTGTGCTCCCGGAGGAGATTTCTGGTTTTACATTCAGACACCCAGGGGACATGTTACCTGAGAGTTTCTGCCTTTGATGTCATCAGAGCTGGGCCCGGTGGCCTCGGCGTGCAGCCAGGGACCAGGTGTACGGCCTGAAAGAAACAGGAACGCTTTCACTATCTACCAGCTAGGGACCAACTGTGCGTGCTTCTGGCTGAACAGGCACTAAGAGCCACAGCAAAGAATGCAGGGGAACATGAGCCCGTCAACCTGAAACCATCAGGCTCCTGGCCTGAGACAGTGCGTTTCTACCCACCATTTCTGTGTCACAGGCTGTGGCCACACAGGCGTGGGCACAATCACTGGGGAGGAGCTAAAGTATAAGGAGCTATTTAGATGTGTGTGGGTTTCTCAGCACAAAACATACCCGACTTTCAGACACCTTGCTTAATCCAGCATCCGGAAATGCCAACCAGCAGGGGCTGGTTAAAAAGTAATTGCTGACTTAAATCAGGGTCTGTCCTTGATGATTCAACTCATTCCCCAATCAATGTTAAAATATTACACAAGTTTCATGTAAACATATTCTCATCACTAAAAATGTAAAGAACACAGCCAACAATCACTCCACCTAATGTGTCTCTTCTCTGTCTGTCCTTTCTCCTAGCCCCAATTCCACACCTGCCCCAACCCCTGTTAATAAATACCACTGGTGTTTATTCACCCAGTTGTTTTCTTTTTGACACTTACATCTCTGTGTTTATACTCTGATATGTGCTTTGGTTGGTAGAGTCAAGTTTTAAATCCACATGTTCAGGCACCCCAGAACCTTTCCTGAGTGAGGTGGTTGTAAGGTGTCTCTTTCTCTGTTGCGTTTGGTATTAGAATTTTCTGCTCTGCTTCTGTCATCAGCTAGGTATTCCATAACCTCTTCCCCAAACGTTCTGAACAATGAGGGCTGCTGTGCTACTTATAAAGCAAAATGAAAGCAGAGCTATTCATCGGAGATTATTTGTACCAGTGAAAAACTGAAACCACCTGTGTTCGAAAAAAGTGTTTAGGAAAATCGAGGGTTCACTATCATATATATGTTAGAGTACTAAACAGTTGTTCAGAAGTTTATAAAAACTCAACTTGGAGTGTTTGTAATGGAGATGAACAAAGTAGGGTAGAAATTATAGAAATAGAATGACCTCAATTACTTTTAAAATTTATTAAAAATGGTAATAATATATATACATGGAATTGTTTCCTCCCTGGTGATAGGATTACTATTTTTTTTTGATTGTCAACAAATACCTTTCAAGTTTTCTATTATGAACATATAAATCAACTTAAGAATCTTTTAAGGTAAGGGATAGTTTTTTAAATGAACTATCACATAGAAGAGCCCCTATAACTTATAAAACATTAACCAAATGGGCACAGTAATCTTCACTAGAACACTTTTAAGGGCCCTCCCTGGTGGTGCAACCGGTTAAAGCACAGCACTGTGAAGCTAAAGCCACTTCAGCATGAGTTCGATCCCTGTCCTGGAGGTGATCCACATGGCATAGCAGATATCTCCTGACCTGCCCACTGCTCCCAGCACTGTACTTTGTTGATCTGCCTGTTCTGATCCCCACTCTGTCTCTGGTGAATCCTCTCACCACCCCTGCACCTCCAGCCTATACCCCAGTTCTGTATGCACAAATAAATAAATCTTTAAAAAAAAACACTTTTAAAATTAATGAGTGCAATTGATCTAGGATAAAGATATTTTCAGGCAAATGGCATGAGAAGTGGTGAATTTTCAGTGAGCTTACTATTTATGTAAAAAGACATTGAAATTCCATATGAGTATTCCATATAGTAGTGTGGCATTGAAATCACTGTTCTTAGATTTAAGAAAGTTCAGTTTGCTACGGAGAAGCCCCCCTTTTGGCTAGATTTCCTAATTGGGTTCTGTTAACATTTTGGGCTGGGTAATTCTTTTCTTTGGGGCTGTGCGTGTTGCAGGCTAGCAGTACATCTCTGAGCTCCAGACTCTTCGTACAACAGAAAGTGTCTCCAGACAATGTCAAATGTTCCCTGAGGGGCAAATGTGCCCGATTTGAGAGTTACTAGGCAATAAAATAGGCATCTTCATAGGTAAGCAGTTCCTACTAATGTTCAGAAATATGACTGAAAATAACTGCTGAGCTAAAGGAGAATAATTTCTTCATAAAATAGAAAGGCAAGCTCTGCATCTTGTTATAGAAGAAATTTTACTATTTCTAGAAGCGATTGACCAGGATTTAGTGAGGGTTAACTAGGGTGACTTTAGTTCAATTATATCCTTAGAAAATTTTCCTTTATGAGATGCATGAGAGTCTCTTAGAATCCAAAAAGTATTTTTGAATATGCTGAGTAGTTCTCACATGGAATGGTTTCCCATAGAAGAGCATTCCAGATGCACAAAAAACTGTACAAGGTTAGTAAGAAATCTCGCTTGCCCTTCTGCCCAATCACAAAAGTCTGCTGCACTCACAGCACAGCCAGGTGATGCCATGGAGCATCCTGATGTGAGCACCGATTCTGAACCAAGGGCTTGAAGGATCAGAGGCCCGCAAGCTAAGGTGGCTTCTAACTTGATTTTTTTTGTCATTTGTAAGCCAAGTCAGTACTGCAGCTTTTCCAAGGAACAAAGATATTTTCATGTCCTTAAAGAAAGTCTACTCTGGGCTTTCCCCCATTGGTGCAATGGGTAAGGACGCAGCACTGCAAGCTAGCCACAGCTGCTTCAGTGTAAGTTCAATCCCCAGCCCTGGAGGGACCCACATGACACAGCAGACCTCTCCTGACCCTCCTGCTGCTCCCCTCAGCAGTGTACTTCGTCAATCTGCCTGTTCTGCTCCCCACTCTGTCACTGGTGAA